CTTGGGCACAACGCCTCGACATCCATCATCGCCAGCAAATCCGGACGGTCTGGGGCAACATCGAGTTTCTGGAAATCCGGCTGGCGCTGCAGGAAGTCCTCAACCGACGTGTCGTCGCCAAACGCATCCCACTCCTCCGTGGTCGGCTGGCCAAAAACATCCTTCCCCTCGCCAGTCCTCCTCTTAACTTTCTCGGGATCAATGAAATTCAGCGCCCAGCCCATAGCTTTCACCCTCTCGCCCCCATCCTCCCCGTCCAGCCGCGGTAATACTAAATCCTTACCCACAACCTTCCCCGACTCCGCACTAACTAAATCCACACTCCCGTCGCTCCACGCAACCGCCACGCTCTTGCCGTTAAATTCCCACTGCACCGCGTCGACACACACGTCCTCGCTCTTTCTCCGCAGGCTGAAGGCGAGTTGGCCATTGATCCGGTACACGTCGAGGTTTTCCTCGGCGGTGACGAGGGCGATTAGGTCCATGGTTGGGCAGTAGGCGAAGAGGTGTGGGTGGATTGGGTGCAGGAGGATTTTCTCGGATTGTTGGAGGAGCTGCCGAGGTTTTTTGGAGTCTGTGATTGCCATGATTGCTGGAGGGAGGCAGTGACGGCCTTTGGGGATTGATTCAGTCGAATGTTTGATTGTTGGTGGTGTGGGTATGTTTGTGAAGTGCACGTTATACCAAAGTTGCCTAGCGCGGTCGCGCGATCACGTTTTCGGGGTTTTGTGTGGAAGGTACACTCAAGAGCTATTACATAGGCATTCGGATATGCTCGAAGGTCCTTAATTGTAGTGCTGACAGAAACTTCATATCATTCCCCCACTCGCACTCGAGCAGATAATCGGGTATACAGATTCCTCATCTCATGACCATCGTCCTATAAATACAAGCTATACAGCGCGCGCAACTCTGTCCCTCAGACCGCGTCTTTGTAATACCGACCAATGCCTCAAAATAATAGCAAAAAACGCCCTGGAAACTCCGCCATGAAATACCGCAAGACCAGCCACGCGGTGTGCCCTTGTGTGTACATATCTCACCGTAATGAGCTGTTCCTCTTGGGCTGTATCGACTCTTTATGTACGCGCCCTCTTCCCGCCCCGCTGAGTCTACCCTGCATCCTCTGATCCTCATCAAAACTTGTGCGTTTCGCGCTGCCGCCCTCATCATCATCTTCCGCGAGATCGCCCAGCTCGAATTGGTTCTCAATGTCGTAGTCGTGCATCAGCGCCCTCTGGTCTGGCGCACCGTTTCTCGAGGCATGTCCTCCGCCCAGGAATGGGCTTTGTAATTCGGTGCTTCGGCGCGCTTGCATGCTGCGTCGTGTGGGGAAGCCGGAGATTGCGTCTGAAGGTGCGCCATCGGTGAATTGCGAGCCGAGATGTCTGTTGCCGTTGGGGTCGTCGCGCGAAAGGTTGAGGAGGTATACGCCGGAAAAGATGATGAGGAAGCCGCAGAGGAGGGAGATTGTATTTACGGCGGATGTGGTGTTGAAGCCTTGGAACAAAAGGAAAGATGCGACGAGTGTGCATGTGGTGAATGTGACATAGTAAAGAGGGTTGACGCTGTTTGGTGTTAGCTTTCCGATCCCTCAAGTAAGATGTGTAGAGTCTTACATGTTCGTCGAGAACTGGCTCAGCGCCTTGTTGAAGTAGTTCATCTGCGTGAGAATGCATCCCACGATCATGATAACGAACACGTATGTCGAGGGATGCGTGAACTGGTTGTTACCCGCAAACGTCATCTTGAGCGCCAGACCGAACGCCTTGATGAACATGATCGACACCGAGCCGGTCGTCGAGCAAATCGACAAGTAGATGAGCGGATTCTTGCGCCCATACTTGGGCGCGATCTTGTAGATCATAAAGATCGAGAACACCGCCACGAATAGACAGTAGAAGAGGAAGCCTACAATCCCGTCAGTGTCGCAAACTCATCGTCGCTGGGGTTCATCATACCTGGCTGAATCGCCAGATTCAACACCTCATCCACCGACGCAACCTCCTTGTCCGGCGGCGCATGCAGCACTATAATCACCGACCCGATCAAACAGATCGCACAGCCAATCTTTCCCAGCAAACCCAGCTGTTCGTCGAGGAAATACGACCCCAGGACCGCGCCAATGAGCACCGAAAGCGCGCCCAGCGGCGTCACCAGAATCGCCGGCGCAAACGCATACGCCGCGAAGTTGAATGTCTCGCCGAGTACCACTGTCCCTTATTAGCCTCCCCTCATCATTCGAACATGTGTCTGGGTCGCTCACTCGTCGTTATGCCCGCCCACCACGTCGGGTTTCGCAGGTATCCGAAGCCGTCACCGTCGAAGCCGTTCTTCTCCATGGACGCATTCAGGCCCTTTTTCGTAATCACGAAGCTCGCACCTGGATACGTGTTAGCCTTCTCGTTGTGCACATCGGCTTTGTCGCAAACGTACCAATGGCGAGCGACGAGCTCACAGCCAGCATGAGGCCGATATATCTGTCCACAGCATCAGCGCCACCCCCTCCTTCGCGCACGCTTCACGTACTTGTCTTCCACCATGATGTCCCGTCTGCGTAGTAATATGCGATGTCCAACGTTGTGCGCGGAGTAAGTTGTGGTGGTGGTGCCGTCACGGCGCTTGTGCGTATCGATAGCGCGGCGGAATGACGAGGCAGGAAGGTGCGAAATCAAAAGCGTTGTCTTCTTGCCCTTGCGACTACAGTTCGTTTGTGTTCGGAATGTGGGCTCACGGAATCGATTCGCGTTTCACCAAACGCCTCAAGGGTCTGCAAGGTACAAGACAGGTACCGTGTCGAATCAAGGTGGCGTGTTTGCGAGAGAGCGGGCGTGCGAGGCAGCGAGCTGCGATGTACGGTCAATGTGGCGAGGCAAAAAAACGAACGTAACCCTCAGAACAAAGACTCAACGAACGTTAATTCGCAAAAGACGCGACGAAGCTCTATTATCGATTGTGCCGCAGTCTCGCCATCACGTTTCACGCCCAGACTCGCTCCAGCTCCAGCTGCAGGGGCGTCACTTGCTGCGCCTCGAAACCAGGTGCCAGCTCTCCGCGGCCAGATGCCGCGCTACTTGGTAATCCTTGGATGAGACGAAGAGCGGCCCAGGCACACGTGGCGTTTCTGCCATCCTGCAATTCGCACAAAGAATGGTTGTTATCTATACATTTTGTTGCAAGAAAATCTTCGTCCGCTTGCACTCTGCGTAAATGCCGTGCCTGCTTGCAGTGACCATCTGTCCTGTTAGCCACCGTTACTTGATGGCGGGGCCTTGAGCGGCGCCCCCGTTGCGCCAAAATTAGACGTCCCCTCCGCGATTGGGATTAAGCACCCCTGTGGGCCAACACGCCGAACACGATATCGATAATTCACGCAAAGCAATTTTAGAAGCTCGTAGTAGATTGATGACGCAGCCGTGAGCATCTGAGTCGAGGAGCATTGGACACATCACAACCTGCACGTGTGGCACTCGGTGATTGTGTGAACTTTTCGTTTCGATGCATTCCATGATCCATCAATGGTACCTGAATACGAATCCCTGACACATTGTCGAGACCCACCGTACGCGTAACGATCGCGACAGTTGACACCAGTCCCACTCCCATCAACGCCTGGTTCAAAATGCCCATGACAAGCCGGGTATATGACGCCAAATGCTTCAGATACCGACATCTGTTCCGTTGCGCCTGTATAAAGCCCAGAAAGCCCAGAAAATTCACCTCCAAATCCGCAATTCCATCTCCCACCAAACGAACCACATCTCATGGATGCGTTCTCCAACCAAGAAACAAAAGGAAAAACATATTGGATATGAGGTGACTAGTCTCAATCCGCCATGTGGGAATGGGGAAAAGCCTTACCAATCAGAGTGTGAACTCCAATGAGGATCCTCGAATGGCTGAATACGCCATTGAAGCTGTATAACTCTGCGAGGGGTTGTCGAAGAAGGGCTGGTATTAGTACATGGTCACGGTAGCAAGTTAGCAAAGTCGAATCCTCGGGAAGTCGCAAAGGCGTTGTGGAAATCCAAATCCGGGTGTTCAAAAGGCTGTGAAAGGGGTCCAAAGACTGAAGAGAAAGTGAAGGGAAGGAGCCGATTGAACGACTGTGGGTTAGTACGTGTCGATATACGCAGAGGTGAAGGGCGGGGGTAGTTAAACCCTGGGACGCTTGGTGTCTGGGAACACAAAGTCAGCGTCTTGCCAACACAGATTGATACCATGGATGTGGTGCGTACCTGATGGATCGAGTGCATCACCAACCGAATCGCTGGCCTCGTCTCTTGACCTCTTCTGTCCTTGCGGAGAGCTATCTTGCAGGTCGGTTGACGAGGCCGCAACAGGATCTGCAGCCGAAGACGCCGCGACCGCAGGTTGCTCCACCACACCGCCCTCCTCTTCCTCATAGTGCGCGGTGACCTCATCATCCAGGAAAATGTTGTCTCCGGATACTTCGACGGCTTGTCCTTGATCGGTGCCCCACTCGGTAGCATTCTCCAGATCTAAGAAGTCGTCGCCGTCTACAAGCTCGTGTGCACCATTTGCGGACTCACCGGCACCGGTGCCATCGACTTCACCACCGCTGATGAATTCGTTCTGCAGCTGTTGCTCAAGGTCCTGGTAATCGTAGCCAGTGTAGTCTTGGTTAGTAAGGCCATCGAGATCGGCCTCTGCGGGGTAGGCATCTTGATCATTTGTCTGGAGATCGGAGGCTTCACCTTCGCCATAGGTTCCGTCATACTCCTGGTACATATCTGCGTTGTTCTCATGGTCGAACTGTTCTTCGTTATGAGCATAGTCCTCATATGCCCCATTCGCTGCATAAGGGAACGCATCATCATAACCAGTCTGGTACTCTTTTTCAAAGCTGGTGGATTCGGCAGTAGGAGCAGATGCCTCAATAGTCGCGGGATTGTCACCTTGTACTGTAGTTGAGGACGGTGAGGCGTTGGTGGGAGCCTGAGTTTGCGGCTCGTCATCCTCGTCATCACTGTAGTCTACAGTGTCATTCGCCAGCTGTTCTGCTGTCTGGTTGGCAGTGACATCATGCTGAGTGGTCTCTGCACTACGATCGGGGCTTTCTTGTGCAGCAGGACTACTGCCATGCGCAACAGCTGCAGGGGTAGAAGCATGCTCAGACTTGGTTTCGGCCTTCGACGAGTGCTCTTCACCATTTACTCGAGGCTCGTCATTGTCCTGGTCATCGTTCTCACCAAGATCAATTCCAGTAGCCGCTTCGTCAGCCGCTTCATCAACAATTTCTGTGCCCTCTTGGGCGTTCTCCTGAGCAACGTTCTCCTCTTGCTCGGTCTCTTCTTTTTGGCCGTACTCTTCTTGACCTTCTGCGTCTTGGTCCCATTCCGTACCTTCATGCTCAGTGGACTGACCAGAGTGCGCATCAACGAAATGTGTCTCTCCTGCGGCTATGGCAGAGTTGAGGCCAGAATAGCCGTGACCTTGATCAGCATGTTTAGCAATGTCGGAGAGGAGAGTCGCAAATCGCGGTCGGGACAGCAGGCACATGTAGAACGACTCAGGCTCGCTCTCGCCATCCTGGGCATGAAGTGTGTAGTACAGATCAATCATTCGTCCGAGGGATACGGCGACACACGCCGTGCTGTCTTCAAAGATCTCCATGTTGTGGAAATGGTCAAAGCGTAAGCCTAACTCAGTCTCGTTGGAGATGTTCTCACCCAGGGAGGCCCGACAAGCTTGGAACATTTCGGACAGGCTAGAGTGGATAATGGAAGTGTCTTCGGTGAGCCAATCACCGCTCTCATCGACGTCGTGTTGCTTGAACAGCCACAGCTCGTTGCCCTCGTAGTTGATAGTGATCGGGCGGGACTCGATAGACTGTTGCTCCACATGGTCGCCCTGCTGGTACTCGCTCACATCAGCTTGAGAGTCTTGGTCCTGCAATGGCACTCCACCGGTATCACCATCGGTATCGTACTCTGCCTCGTCTTGAGCCCGGAACTCCGTCTCATCGTGCTGCTCTTGATTTTCTGCGGAAGGCTCGAAGTTGTTCTCATCGTGCTGCTCTTCGTTTTCTGCGGAAGGCTCGAAGTTATCCTCGCCGTCAGCATAGTCGCCGTGATTGGCAATTTCATCCTCATTCGTCGAGCCGGGAATTTGTGCCTCTGCTGGAAGTGCATGGATTTCAGATGCCGACTCATCATTCTGAACATCCTGTGTCTGTCCTACAGACTGAGCTGGGGTTCCTTGGTTATAGGTTGGCGTCGGATAAATATCCTCGTCGTCGGAGTAATCGATGAGGTCGTCATCCGGGTGCGCAGGTGCAGTCTCTTGGGCAGGTGTAGTATAGTCTATAGGGACATGGTCATCATGTATTCCATCTCCAAGCTGAATGTCGCCTTCATCGTCGACCTCATGGTCTACCATGTCTTGGTCTGGAGAGACAGTCTGAGTTTCGAGATCCGCGTCTGCTCCGGCGTCCTTGAGAGAAATGTCGTCGTCATCTGCCTGAGCTGGTGGCGCAGGATCGAGATCAAGGTCGATGTCGCCATCGTCGAAGTCAAGACCGCTGTCGGAGTGCAGATCCATGATATCGTCTGTCGCAGCATCGAGCTTGCGTACAGCGTGAGTAGCAGCAGCCATATCTGGTAGAAGAGAGCAAAACTTTTTGCGTGCTTAGTTGTCCGTTGCAATGCGGACGCGGGATTCAGGCAAAAGGAGTGCGACAAACGCGTCACAAAGCGCGCGCGCAAGATGTGAGTGGCGACGCGCAAAAGTACGTGATCTTGTGCTTGACGTGCTTCAGGAATACGAAGCTATGAGCGCATGGCGCCGCTGGTAAAGAGAGTCGATGGTTGCAGTCGTGTACAGCGGTAAAGGGTCGAGTTGAGGGTGAGTTGGGAAATGAGACAGAGAGGGCTCGGTGGAGGCGCGCCAAGAAAGGCAAGTGCCGCTGCGTACTGAGGTGGTCAAGAATGTGCTCTGTTGCTTGCGCGCAAGAGAACAAATCAAGAGCGGTCGATCGTGCGAAGACCAGTCTAGTGGTGACTTGAAGTCGTGCGCTTCGAGACGCAAGGTGGTATAAGCTGGTTGGGGAGTGAGGGAGGAGAAGCTTGGAAGTAGTTTAATACATGTTGCAGGTGCGGAGCTGCTCCAGGCAGTCCCGATCACGTGCACGTGACTTGTGTCCACATTGACCCTGGAACTCCAACATGCGACTTGCGCAGCTGGCCACGACGAGAGTACACAGCAAACAAACAGTGTGGACTCTGTAAGATTGAAGTCTCGGCGGAAATCTTGATACCTTCAGCCCCATACCCTACTCTACTTCCCACGTTTGGCACAGATTTCTGGTGTTGCTCCACGAATTCGAGATTCGACCGTGTCCCCTCCATTACTCCAGACAACAACCATTGCTGCACACCCAACCTTCTCGCCTCCGCTGAACCGCACAATCCATAAACTCCAGAGGTTCCCAGTTGTTGAACTGCCACAATGGTACACTCGCCGCAGATGACACTGCAGTACACGGTACAGCACAACAGAGCTGACGGAGCACTAGGTTGTCCTCGCAGCTTCAATATGCACAAGAGGCGGCAAGGCTGTTCTCTCGCGCCAATTCCGAGAGATGCAGCGCTCTCGAATTGAGGCTCTCCTCGCATCCTTCCCCAAGCTCGCCGATAGCGGCACCCAGCACACAATCGCCGAGCAGGACAATGTCCGCTACGTCTACCAACCACTCGACGAGCTGTACATGGTCTTGGTGACCAATCTGCAATCGAACATCCTCCAGGATATCAACTCTCTTCACCTGTTCGCTCAGGTGGTGTCTTCGATATGCAAGTCCCTCGACGAGCGTGAGATCTTGAAGAATGCTTTCGAGCTTCTGACCGCCTTCGATGAGATTGTCACACTAGGCTACAGGGAAAACTTGACCATGAGCCAGATTAAGACCTTCTTGGACATGGAATCGCACGAGGAGCGCATTCAGGAAATCATTGCACGGAACAAGGAGCTCGAGGCTTCAGAGGAGCGCAAGCGCCGCGCCAAACAACTCGAGATGCAGCGCAAGGAGATGTCGAGGTCTCAGCGCGTGGGAGGTGGTGGTATGGGCGGCGGCATGGGCAGTGGCAGTATGGGTCGCTCACCGTCGTACCCAGCCTTCACACCCACTGTACCCACTACGAATGTCACGGACAGCTACGACAGCTACGAGGCAGAGAAGAAGAAGGCCACCAGCAAACCATTGGCTTTGGGCAAGAAGGGCATGCAGCTCGGCAAGAAGAAGCAGGGCAACAACTTGTACGAGCAGGTGACTGGAGGAATGCCGCAGGAAGAAGAGCCACTCGTCTCCCCCAAGCCATCTGCGCCCGCTGCTGCTGCTCCAGTAAGTGCACGCCAATCGACGTCCACCGACCGCGAACCCGTACATATCACCACCAACGAGACCATCTCCGCCCGCTTAGATCGCGAGGGTCTTCTCAAGTCCTTTGAGGTCAAGGGCGAGATGCAGCTCAAGATCAGCGACCCCTCCTTTACACAAGTTAAGCTCGACCTGGCGACCGGCGACACCCGCGGCGCACAGCTCATGACACATCCCAAGGTCGACAAGGCCGTCTTCAAGAACGACAAGGTCATCCAACTCGCGGATACAACCAAGGGCTTCCCGTCAAACATGGGCATTGGCGTCATGAAATGGAAGCTCGCACCGCGGCCTGACGATGTGTCTGACCCACCCATCACGTTCCGTGTCTGGGTCGAGGACTCGGGCAACATGTACAACATCACCGTGGAGTACGAGCTTACTGGCGGAGACGCTTTGAAGGACGTCACCGTCACCATTCCCTACGAGACCGACGAGCCCAATGTCTCTTCCTTCGACGCGGTATACGAAGTCAGCGGCGACAGCCTCGAGTGGAACATCGGCACCGTGGACGAGGCCAACAGCTCTGGTAGCTTTGAGTTTGAAGCCCAGGCGGGTAGTGATTCCGAGTTCTTCCCTATGCGCGTGCGCTTTACCAAGAGCACGCCCTTTGTCGATGTCGATGTAAGTCTCATCATCACGCTTGCTGCGACCGAAACTAACATGACTGATAGGTCTCCTCCGTCACTCTCCTCTCCATGGGCCAGGAAATCAACTTCTCCAAGGAAGTCAAGTCTGTCGCGGAAGCATATGAGATCTCATAAACCGCACGACGTACGTAGTAGGACAAAAGTAATTAGACGGGTAGAAGAGAATGAAAGTATGCATGATGATTTTTAAAATCAAAACGACTAGGAGGGGGATGAAACTATGCATGCTGATGTTTGAAAACCTACGCACTGTAAATTCGTGTGGGATAAGCCTGAGACTTCTTCATCTACCACCAGCCCCACTAACTCTCCCCACTTCCACGCCTCCACTCGTACCGTTCATTCATCATATTCACACACTCGTCCTCTTCTCTTCCAGCCATCCACATTTCTCCAGCTTGTAGCAATGACATTATCTCGGAGTTCAAATCACATTCGCTTCACACCACTCATGCTCACTCCCATTTCCATCTCAATATTGTAAAGTGTAAAGTATTCATTATACATTTCACCATCAAGCGTGCTTCCCGCGCTGCTATCTATCCTCTCCTATCCTCCAAAATGCCTCTTGGAAAAATCTGTACAAATCCACTATACACACACACTCGCCAATATTGCCTACTCGCGTAGTCCCATGCCAACCAGTCTATATTGCCCCCCCCCCCCCCCTTAAAACCGAAAAGAGAAGAAAAACAAAATCCCAAACCAAACACCGGCTAATTTCAAATGGGTTTGGTATCTCAAAAGCCAAAACAAAATGTACATGCGAAAGGGGTTGTACATGGAAAAACGTTGCTCAGATGCGTCGCGAGTAAAACATGTCGTACACTGTACAAAAGCGATCAAACAACCGCATCGCCAAGATAGCTAAAATCATCCATCAATCGATTGACCTCGCTACCGCGCTGCACACTCGACTCAGGTCGAATCTCCGGCGCAGCGGTGATGGTCGTCTTGGAGCCCGTGTCGTCGTCTGGCAGGCTATACTGAAACCCCAGACCGAAGCACGCAGCCTGACGCCGCGGCGCCGAGTCCGCGTGTTGAATGTCCAGACCGAAGAGATCGGATCCAAATGCCGAGACGCGGACGTCGTCGAGGCGCGGGGGTGCTGCTGGGAGGTGTGTTTCGCCATTCGCGGCGGAAAACTCGTCTTCCGAATCGCGCAGGGAGAAGCGCATGGGCGAGCCGGCGTCGCTGGTGAGGGAAGAGAAGGTGGGGGAACTGACCCCCTCGTCTTCGGAGGTGGATGTATATGCTGAAGACTCGTTGCTCCACATTGAGAAGTGGCTGCCGGGCTTGTCTTCGTAGTCACTGATTAGATCGCCTAGGACAGAGTCGGAGTCGTCGTCTTCCGAGACTGGGAATGCTTCTTCGATGAGTGGCTCAGTCGGAGATGAACACGCGAACAGTGGTGCGGGCTTCAAGTAGCGTGGTAGTGCTGGGAGTTCTTTGTCTAGTGGCGAGTTACGGAGACTTGGGCTCCGGCTGCTTCCATGACTTGAAGTGGGTCGCTCATCTGTGGATGGCGGTGCAAGAGATGACGGTCTCCGTAATGTTGGGGCCGACTGGACATTCTCGACGGCGTCCTCAGAATCTATTCCAAAGGTCTGCTGGAGCTTTGGTGTGGAAAGCCAAGGGTCATTGGAGAAGAGATAGTGCTGCGTCCTGCGTGTGTCCGCGGAATTGGCGCGTGTACGGCCACGGTCCAGCTTGAATTCACTCTTGATGACTGTGGATGGGATGTGAGATACACCCCGACTGTGCGATGGTCTCCTTTCGGCTGGTGGCTCAGACCGAGCGAATACGGCGTCGTGAGCAGGAACAACTGGATGTGATCCGAGTGGGCAAAATCCGTTTCTAGACATGGGGGGTGGGCGTGTCGATGTGGCTGGAGCTGAGGTAGTCTCTCTTGGTGCACTCGTAGGCGCAGGTCCGAGTGTGGGCGCAGGTCCGAAAGAACCTAGAGGAATGAGGTCAAGGTCATCAGCTGTTGTGCTGACCAATACTGGTAGGCCAATCTCCAGCTCCTGCGACTTTGAAGAGCTGCGTGATCGAGATCCTGAGCGCTTAGAGGCAAGCTTGTCCTTCAAGCACTTGAAGTCAGTGAATAGGGGAGTTGAAGGCATATGCGGCGAAGCAGACGCACTTCGTGCATGTCGCATGACGTTCGGAGACAAGAAGGCTTCTGGTGGAGGGTAGGTCGCAGACCTTGGGGCCCACGGTGATGGTAAAGGAAGCGGGGAATTTTGGCTCGCTTTTCCGGAATGCGGTGATAATCTGAGAGGCTTAGGCGGCACTGGGTTCAGATAGCGATCACTTGGGTTGCGTGTGAAGCCATCAGAGGGGGCCGAGTTGTTACGGCAGTGTCCCTCGGTAGGGAGCTCCAGAACATTCAGGCGTTGACCCGGCAGAAGGGGACAAAATGTAGTCGAAGGCTCCGACGGATTATGGCATTCATCATCGTCATCAACCTTGTACTGTGGCATGTCAATATGTAGCTGCAGTGTGAGGTAAGGACTGACTCACGTAGTACCAATATGTGCCACCCATCTTTAATGGTCCGTTACGCTTAGGTACGTGCTCGTCCAGGTCTCCGTCGCAGATGATGTCGGAGAAGGTGAAGCAACCTCGCCAATAGTTACGCCCCCTTCGTGCGTCGAGCTCAAGTCGATATGGTTTAGAGAAGTTGTCCCAAGATCCGAGTAAGACTAAACTCCTCAGTGCAACGGGACAATGGCTTGATGGCGAAGTCAGTGGTGGTGGCCTTAGGTTTGGGGCAGGAAAGGGTAGACATACAACAAAAAAGTATGGAGCGCTGTGTTGTCCATGACCGCGAGTCTGGGTCAGCTAAGCTGTTAAGGGTAAGGAAGAGACGTTTGAGGCGTGTGCGCGTCTATATCCTAGGCGGTTGTGAAGTGTGCATATACCCGTGTGTGTCATAAATAGATAGCCATGCCAAACGGGAAGGTTAGAATGTTTTGGCCAGCTGTTTCTGAATGGTGCCGTCACAAAACGGTTCAACAAGTCAAGATAAACGAGTTTTTGATTGGTGGGCAATCGACGGCGTTTGGGTGAATGTTGAAACTAGACCCTGGCCACTTGACGTATGCTTGCGGCAAGGCTGACAGGGTGCAGCATGAAGCAGCAGATCCAGTCGCGGAAATCTAGAAGAAACCAAGGCACGCCTCTTAATGCAGGACCTTGACCGGTAGGGAAAAAAGTGTTGGATCGTGGAGTCGGATGGTTGTTGTGGTCGTCCAAGATTGGTCCAATTGACGCCCGCTGGTGTTGTCTGGGCGGAGTTGGTGAGAAAGCAGCCTGAGCGCTTAAAGCCAACGTCCAGATCAGTGATATATCCAGTATAGTGAAACACGATATGGCGTGGGGTCCAAAAGCGCTCGATACTGTGTAACTGGGTGTAGAGAAGAAAAGACGAGCGCTGCCGCGCAGAAATAAAAACTGTACCTTTGTCAAAGCTGGCAGGAAGCTAGGACAGACAGGCAGCCACCAATTGCGCCTTCTGTTCTGAGTCGGACAAGAGCACCCGCTGAGTGAATTTATTGGAAGCGGACCTCAAACACGCCAAAGTGGGTGGGCATTGTAAGCATAAGTAACAAAGGCCTCTCGTTGGCCGCAAACGTTGGCCTGTGAGGAGCTGTCTCCGTTCCTTCATCTCCTGCCGTGCAATCCATGGTAGACATGATTTACCTGGAGCTGGGAACCGTTGACTGGTAAGGGGTGAACCACAGCGCCGGTGGTTAGCTTCCCTCGATACTTTGGACTAGTAAGCTGTTGATGTCTTGACAGTTTTCTCACACTTGCAGGATCGGTAACCCGAAAAAGCATCGAGCCAGGGGTTTGGCGAGTCGTACTCGGGAGCTGGCGATCTCATCTCACCTCACATCGCTTCCCCTGTTGTCGGCGTCTCACGCACGGCTCTCTATGAGCGCGCGGTTACATCTGCAGCAAGGGCATGTACCCACTTGATTGGTTTTGGTTCGGCGCCAAGTTGCGGCAAGAGCGACAAGCGAGCGAGCCAGTCGTGCCTGCCCTGCCCCTGCACCACGAGGAGGGGACGCTAGCAGGCCACCGGCTTTAATCTCAAGCAGGTGCATAACGCATAACAGAAACCTGAGGCTGCTGAGGCCGCCGTGTTATTAAGTATCGTCCTGCAAGTCCGTGGGTCGTATGAGAGATTTTCCTTAAGTCTTGTGTTGAGGTAACGCAGCGCAACGCTATGCAAACAACCCAGTCTTTGGTACCACAACACTCAGCGCTCTCCTCATCCGGAGCCGACTCCATATCCAGCACAACAGCCTCGAAGCGCCGACTGTGGCACAGCTGCATGTTGGATGAGCCATCGCCAACCACTACTGATGCAGACATACCGCACTGCCATGGAAACGAGGCCCTCGATAATGCGACCATGACATGCGAGACGGACTTCGGCAAGTTTTGCTCGCGCTGATCTGCAACGAGAATTTTGCGCGACGCAAAGTGATAATCTTCCTGGTCTCAACTCCACTTGCTCGCATGGTTCCGAGTTTACCGTTGAACTGGCCGACTGTTACTTGAACGAAAATTCTGACAGGCCTGTGGTACATGCTTTTCTTTACACCTACTTGACAGCACATCGATGTACAACGTGCAACGGACCTAGAAACAATCAGCTTTGTGTGGCCTGCCAGATGTGATGGTGTGGGCAAAGATTCCGAAAGTCCGCACATTTGGCACCTTGATGGTCCTCCAAATGCAGGCTCTAGTGTGCGTGATGTAGCCCGGTCGCTCTTCACAAGTAGGGAATGCTAGTTCACAGGCTGGACCCAAGATTTATTGTATCGTACTTGTATTAATGTATGGCACGGAACAATGACGCATATCCTTCAGGACGCCCTTCCTCACTGGAAGCTCGTGTCCAGAATTCCAGGCTTCCTGTCCTCCAAGTCCAGAATCATCTGTCCAAACAGTCCATTGGCCCACGAAAACCACTGTCTCGTCCAATCGGTCACGTTGAAGCTGTTGATGCTCTCGTGGATCAGCCCAAGTCCGTCCGTGCTGCTCACGATTTGCCGCAATTCGTTTACGATCTCGTCATCGTCCTCGGTCGTCAAGATGCGGATGATCGACGCCATAGGCCAGGCCATACCAAATCCTTGATGAGGTCCGCCTACCGCGTTGAGGACGGGGCCACGCATGAAGTAAGAGTTCGATTCACTGAGTACGAGCGACCGCGTGTTCGCATAAGTCTCTGGGTCGATGCGGTAGCCGAGGAACGGGGCCGAGAGGAGTGAGGGAATATTCGCGTCGTCCATGATGTTGGAGGAGCCGAAGCCATCGACCTCGAAAGCATAGATCTTGCCGAATTTGGTATGGTTCACTGTTCCGTGGGTTTCGATGGCATCTCTGAGCGAGCTCGACATTGCTGACATTTGCTGCGCTAGGGCGGCCGACTTGTCGGTCTTTAGTTTACCCATGATGTCTGCGGCGGATGCTAGGTAGGCGCTGAACATCATGTTGCTGGGGATGTAGAATTGGAAGATGGTCGAATCGTCACTAGGTCTAAAACCACTTCGAATGAGGCCAGTGCCATTAGCGACTGGATTGCCGCCGCCATCGTTCGAAAAGGTCTCAGTCGCACGCGTTGTGTATCGGGTGAATGTATAAGGACTTTCCAACACCCTTCCGTCGGGACCATATGTAGGCGTCGTCATATTTTGAGCAACTTTGAGTACTTGCTCGACAGCCTGCACCCATTTGAACTTGCCGAAGAAATCGATATCGCCCGTTGCATTGTAGTAGTCGGTCGAGATCTGCAAGAAGGCCGCGAGCGAATCGAGCTCGTACTTGCACTCAAATACTGATGAGTTCGAATACGGTGGGAACGTGGTGTCCTGGCTTCCCGCGTCGTTTTGAGCCGGCGCAATGCCGCTCTCCACTGGTGGCTGGAATGCATTGCAGTATGGGGAGGTCAAGAGATACCGTGCCTGAAGGTTGATCACGCCGCGGTAGAGACTCGCAATCGAATTCGCATCGCTGCTCGCGTTGAGAATCGGCAAATAACTCTGAAGCTGGTTGCTGCTGTCACGAAGCCACATCGCGTTTATATCACCGGTTATGATAAAGGTGAGCTCCTCCTTGTCGTTATCCGCAGCATATCCCTTCCACTTGATCGCCGTGTCGAGGGTGTTGGGGTAGGCGTTCTGGAACAGCCTCGCAAGATCGGGATCTTTGATGACGGACTGCATGCGCGATACGACGTCCTCCAGACCTTGAGACTTGAAAGTCCGGCACTCTTCCGTGGGGCGTTGATATGCAAGCTTGTACTTGCCCGAGCTCAGAGGCTCATGTACCTGTTTGGCGTAGTCGATGTACTCGGGACACTGTGCAGACACCAGCAGCGGGACGCATGGTAGCAGACTCAAGAGAGAGTAGGCGCGCATATTGATCGAGGTCTCACCGCACAGTGAGGTTGTGAAGGTCGACCACAGAGTATGAAAAGCTTGAACCAAGAGAGAGGAGGGTTTGCTCATTTTGTACACGGGTAATAGTCGAGGTCACCCACCCTGTGCCGTGCCAATCGGCGCTTTTCATCGTTTGCGCTTTTCGCTACCCCGCTGATCCGCGCATATGTACAGTTTGTGCTGCTGGTGAGCAGATGCACTGCAACCACGGGTAAAGGAGGCTATCGTCAAACTCCAGGTTAAGCATCCGCTACCCGACGTCATCGCACGTGCCAATATTGGAGTAAGCTGTCAGCAGGTGGGGTTTCCGGACAAGCCGGATTCGAAACAGGAAGGTGCTTGGCTCTTTGCCGTGATGGAGACCATCAGATGGCCTCCAAAGAAGAGTGAGGTCTGTCTCCATATGTGGAGGATGCAACATTGGCCCTCAGCACGCGTCCAGGTGTTGCATGTGGCTGCACGCACCTTCTCGCTTCGTGCTTCGGAAATTGCCACCAGCCCGAATGTGGTTAGTGAATCGGCCGTATCTCGTACAACATTGTTCCGAAGAGGCTCCAGAACGTTTCCCATCTCATCCCGCTGCCAACAACGGTCGCAACAAAGTTTGCTGGGCTTCGCTGCGGGCGAGCACATCGGATTCCGGGATCATGTCGGCACGAAGAGCTCATCCGAAGTCAAGATTAGGTTGCGCAGATTGCAAACGCAGGCGTATCAAGGTACGCTTTTCAACTCATCCCTCGCATGATGCCGCAGGATAGCAACTGCAGAGTAAACAAGGTCTTGTCTATGACTTAATCTTCCAAAGCTATGTGCACTATAACGCTATACTTTGAATACGGCAGTGATACTTGTGTCTACCACCTGTAACTCCCTAGTCGCTTTCTCCCGAGTCTCGGTCACATTTGGTCACCCCTCTTGCTGATCATGCCAGGCAGTGCGACCAGAAACGGCCACATTGTATGAACTGCGAGAAGCGAGGTCTGAAATGCAGCTTCGTTATATTTGATCCGGTTCCTCAATCCAGGTTGTCGGTGTCGTCGCAAGCTGAGGAGACTAAACCGAGTATACACGTGTTCGCACAACATAGTCTATACACCGACGTCCCAGCTCCTGTAGGCACTCTTTTAGATGGAAAAATCCAGGGTGCACTGCTTGAAGGCTTCGCGGTCGATGACCGCCCAAGGATGAAGATCGTGCTCCATCACTTTGCCACGAAAACGGTCCGTACATTTTCGCCTGGCACAGCATCAGACGTCGCGTGGCAGGAGTTCCTTCCATCATTGGCAAAACAACACGGCTATGTCTTGAATGGCATATTGGCTGTCGGGTGTCTGCATCTGTCTATACTCACTAACGAGATATCGGAGCGGGACGACTACCAGGACATCGCAGCAAACCAGATGAACACCGGAATGGCGCAGTATCGAGAAGAGGTCCAGAATATAACGACTAGTAACTCTGAGGCTTTATTCGCGTTCTCCACCACTATGACAACATTTGTCCTAGGCACTGCTGGCACCGAGTGCCGAAATGCTTTGGACTCTATGAAGAAGGAGAGATTGCCAGAAGATCAGCGCGAGGATACCACAACTCTCCTGATCCAGGCTATCTGCAGGATTTTCCGCGCCGTACGCGGCGTCCTCGTGATATTAGTCCCCTGCTATCACCACATCCGAAGCGGCAAGTTCAAGCCTGTACTTGATCGGGACTGGTGGCCTTCGCCCGTTCCCATTACACCGGAAGAGCTCGAGCAAGACAACAAGCTGCGAAGTCTAGAAAAGCTGTGGGCGCAACCTGGGAAGCCGTACGAGTACTGCTTCGATTCTCTCCGAAGGGCGCTGAAGGATCTTCGCGATACCACTGCACTTGTCTCACGATTGGGCCGCGAGCCCATTCCCGGGTGATGGCCCAAATGACGAGACGTTCGATTGGACTGCGATCATGGGCTGGCTGACTCATTTGCCGCTTGAGTTCATCTCACTCCTGGAAGAGCGCCGCATGGAGGCTTGGGTTCTCATGGCGCATTACGCTCTACTGCCCGCTAAAGTGAAGGTCAATCCGTGGCTCGACGGACTCGCGACAAGCATATTCATGACTTCGGCACTGGTGATAGGCAAAGAGAATTGGGAGTGGATTGCATGGCCTGCCGCTGTTCTCAAGATCGACTTGGAGGACGTGCACGCGGAATGAACCATGATCGTTTATTTATCCTCATCAACTCCCACCCGCTCTGCTCAGGCTCACAACCTGGTCAGAGACTATCTGGTGAGCTATACACCCGCCTGCATGGATTCAGAGGCTTATGAGAGCGTGATAGACTCTTCGAGAAGCCTTGAATATATATAGCCTCAGCTATCGCCACGCATTTTCCGTCCATCACAATGCTTACTGCGCCGTCTAACCCTGAGCATGGCGAGCTCTCAGACCCGTCAATGATTAACGCCGTTGAGAGTAAGGCGAAGTTGTTTCATGGTGACTTCGTTATCGCAGGGACTTTCGATTTGCGCAGCCTACCTAAGACATTCTATTTCGGCATGCCCACTTGGACGGCTCAATGGAAAACCGCTGAATAGGTAAGTCCTCCGCCAGTGCCACGCATGTTCGCGCAGTGAGCCTCCAGAGGCAGAACCCATAGCATTCGCATGGCTCTCAACTACGAAGGAAGCGAACGGATAGTCTGACGGTATACACGGCGCTATTGGCTTTCAAAGTTGACAAAAATTCACGGGATATACCTCTAGGCTATGAGATGCAACGTTCGACTGCAGAGTATGTTGGTCTGTCCTACTCGCATGCCTTTTGACTCAGTGGGAGTTGGATTCAAATAGACATTTGTACGCCTCGGACAAAATGAAACACATTTCCTTCACACGAGTTCCCCAACTCTCTATTCCTCGACGACTAAAATTCCTTTTATCTCAAAATTCAACGTCTAAACCTCCATCACTCGCTCAAAGATTCAACGGCCCACTTCCCTTCTTCTCTCCCTCCTTATTTCCCGTGCCCTCGTCCTCAAACCCCCACCGCCCACTCTGATCTAACCCCAACGGATTATCCCCCGTCTGTTCCTTGCCGCCAATCTTCTCCTCCCCCGCATAGCTATCCTTATTCTTCCCCCCTACAACCTCCATCCGCTCCTCCTCACTGCCCAGCAGCGGTCCCAGGACGCCGCGCGTCCCGCCGCCGAGCGCGTTCCCCAGCGGGCCCGTGACGCCTTTCTCGAGGGGCGCACCGATGGGCCGGAGCGCCGTGTTAAGGACCTTGCCTTTTCCACGTGGTTAGTGAGTGTTACGCGTGGATGGGAAGGGGAGGAGAGACGAACCAGCCGGATCTCCAACCATGCTCAGTAATCCGCCGGTACCTTGGTCTTTCTCGGGTTCTTGCTTTGGCTCCGTGGGGATGTGCTGCTGCTGCTGCTGCTGTTGCTGCTCTTCTTTGTCGTTGGCCATCTTGTATTGTAGGTTGAGAAAAAAAGTCCGCGTGGAAATGTCAAGATGCAGAAGCGATCACTTTAGCGCACCGGGCTACGGGACGTTTTTATAAGTAGTCTGCGCCATCACTTCCAGACGCGCAACACAATGATGCAGTTGGAAGCGCGGTATCAAGCTTCGGAGAGTTTGTGACGTCAGATGTGTAACGGCTGAGGGATGGAGATCAGCTAGCGCAAGTGGGGTTAGTGCACCGTTTTGTGACATTTGGCATCCATGTCGACACACATTAAACTGGGCACGCTATGGATGAAGATGTTGTCGAGAATAGTTGTTCTCATTTCTGTTAAGTTGCTATCGTGTAATGAAGTGCAGTATGTAAGCAGAGTCGAGATTCCGAACCTGGAGCCTTAACCCATATTTCCTTGGGTGTGTCCATCCAGAACGCAGAAGTTTCATGTTGCTGACAGTGACGGTGAGAAAGGAAAATTAAGACTTGTGCAATAAATAGGAACATCGGGGTAAAGCACTTTTGAAAAAGAAGAGAAAGCTGGCGCCTGATAACGAGGCCTGGATGCCTTCACGAACTTTCCTGTTCATCGAAAATAAATGGCTCAGCCTACGTGATCCAAGGGACAGTACCTAGAGAGCCGAGGAGATCAGTAATTGTTGGGGCGCTCTTCCGACAAGCCATAACATACCTGCTCAGTCTCGTTCGAGGGAGATAGTGGGCCTCTGAGACGGGTCAATCGTCTCGGTCGTGACATGTCGATACAAGTGCGCATCAACCACCTTGCCGAGCTTGTAGCCGATATAGGGAATGTGGCCCGCGCGGAGGAACTTGAAGCGCTTCAACAACTCTGTGACCCATTTCTCCTCGTTGTCATGCTCCATGTGAGCAGTGAGCATAATGGTCTTAATGACTCGGCCTATTCCAGTCTTGAGGTATTCAGAGTCGTTTCGGTACTCATAGCCCCCACATGCGTTGTAGCCCGTATTCGCCATTTCCAAAAGCCGGTCCAGCAGACAACTTGCGACCTTCTTGCCAGTGTATCCTGGATGAACATAGACTTCGAGGTCAAAGGTGTAGCGATACATGCTCGACTGGTCGCAATAGTCATCGAGAGATGCATATCCGACGATCTTCTCGCTGACATAGGCTTGAGGTTCTCTAGGTTGATTGCCTCTACCAATCGCGACCAGGAAGGGCAGGCCCGCTTTGATAATGGCGTCGATGCGATTACCAATCTGTTGCTGAGCGCGCTGTTCAAACTCGTTGGCGTGAATGGAGGTCTGAACATAGTGGTTGTAGATCTCCTGCGTAATCGTTAGAAAAAGGCTAAGTTGACATGAGCTTGATACTTACAGCGATTCCACGAACATCAGCTGGCTGCACTGGGCGGATATAAATATTGGTATCAGGTTTGATGCGCCTGTCGGGTACGGGCGTGGTGGGCTGCGTGAATTCGCGAACAGGACGCCTCTGTCTTGCAATGGCTTTGCGCTCAGCGTCGGCTTTCCTATCCCTCATAAGATTGACTCGACTCTCAGATGTAGCTGAAAGACCATAGCGCGCAGCACAGATATTGTCTGGGTCACTGGGATCAACACGCGCATTAGGTACAGAAAGCCCGTCAATGAAGTGGTCGGCATCGGCCGCGTATCGTTCCCAGAATGGAGGGTGATCGCTGACATCGCTGAGTGCAGGTGGATCTCTTGCCGGCATTGACTTCCAGAAGGTTGCCAGGCTGTTTTGCTCGATTATTCCCACGATCCAATACCTTGGCACGATTTCCTGGCAGCTGCCGTCTTCGGAAAGACACTTAAGGGTGTCCGTGGGTATCGGCTCAATACACATCTTGCTGTGGCCATTGATCCACTGCTCAACTCCAGAGCCTAGATGTCGTGCTGTATGACCCTTCCGCGCCGACCATTGCTCCGGAGGCGGTAGCCAATCGCCGTTCCAGTCCATCAGCTTCTTGACATCGTAGTCGGGGTCTCCATTGCTGTTCGACCCGAAGGTGACACCACCGTCGCCGTCGCTGGAGCTAGCGCTAGGCTGGGCTTTGATGTCTCGACTCTTTGGCCACACGTGCTTTGCTGGTGCTCTCGTTCTTGGCCAGCGCGGGTTTTCCTTCTTCGGCGCCACTGGAGGCGGATCAGGCCTCGGGGCATCCCAGCCAGACCAGCCTCCACCCTCAGCTTTCGGGGGGTCTTGTGGCTGGAACGTCTTTAAAGGCTTTTGTGTGGAGTGCTCAGCATTCTCATGCTTCTCGGAGCGGGCCTCAGGTCCTCGAGGAGTGCTGGGTGGGGAAGGCGGAAGACGCGAGGTCGTGCTAGCACCGTTTCTGCGTCAAGTCAGCTTGCGTCACTTTTGTGAAGCGTGTATGATGCTGACGGTGACGAATGTAGCTTGTGTGCCTTTGACTGCACGGATGCGGCCGACGATCCGTTGGTATCGACAGAGGCCTCGACCTTTGCCGCTGGCACATCGGCAGGCTTCACACGGTTGCGAAGATGTGGAGGAATATACGCGCGAGCCGGTACTTCATCCATGGGTGTTAGCCTTTGCGGCGTCTACGCTTGTGTCTGCGACGAGAATTGTAGCTTTTGCTCGGAGGCTTCGGCGAGACTGTCGCGTTCTCGGGCGTCGATATGGGTGAAGGTTCACTGGCTAATGCTAAAGTGGTTTCGCAAAGAGGGTGGGGGTTTTTGCTAGGTCTGTGTTGCTGGTTGTCGCTCACAATAGCTTCGACGCAGTTATCACCGGTGCCTGTTGTCGAGACTGAAGGTGAATCCTGGTTTGCTGCAACGTCCAAGGGCACCCAATGAACGCCTTTAGATTTGCGCGCGTTCGCCTTCTATTGTGTATCAGCCGAGAGAATCATTGAACAAAGACAAGGGTAGTCATAGCAGAAGGCGTGGTAAAGAAGCGGGGATTAATCGCTCGCAGAAGTTGGTGATAGTGAGGTAAAGAAGCTCGGAACAAGTGGATCTTATACACAGCCAGCTGCCTACGGTCGGGTGGAGACGGCACGGTTTTCGAGGACCCGAGTACTCATTCTTACTTACCACTGCTGGACCGAAATCTTGCTTCTGCTGCCACGTCATATCCGGTTGTTGTTCGACATCGATGAGTGGCGTCGCGTCAGACATGATCGCTTTGCCTTGAGGCATTGAAGCTCTGGAGCAGAACTGGCCAACGGTACGGCCCATACTGGCGGACTGAGATCTGCTAATCAGACGGGAAGGTGCAGCTCGGGTAGATGGGACTGAGCGATGAGTGGAAGAGCAAGAGCGACTCGGTGTTGTGCACTTTATAGCCTCATCAACCTCACCCTGGATGCTTTATGGTCTCAAAAATCTCACGCAGAGTGACGCGTACCGTAGTGAGTGCACCCGATCTCTATCTCACCTCGTCGTCGCAGCCTTCACTTCACGGTGAGGTGGGGTAGTCTGATTGTCTAGACGTTTGAGAGTCTGTGTCCCGGAAATATGCTTGACATATTCACTCTCTGTACCTCAGCGATTATTCATAGCATCAGTACCGGAAGATGTAGGAAGTACATCATCTGTTGGTCGGCAGGTGCACTCACGGCAAGTTTAGCCGAGATATCATAAGCTCCTCACCATCGAAGAATCCACCGTAACACCACAACGTCGGAGAGTTGACAATTCAAAATGCTGTCGATACTGCGAAAAGCACGCTTGAAGGACAAGGAAATGCGAATACTGATGCTGTGTGTGTTCTTGAATTTGTTTGCTGCAATAGGGCTGACTGCATAGGGGCCTGGACAATGCCGGAAAGACGACCATTGTGAAGAAGATTATGAATGAAGACGTGAACAGCGTCAGCCCTACACTCGGCTTCATTATCAAGACAATAGAATACGATGGGTAAGACAACAGCGAAAGCTCTGAATACTGGCTGACGGAAAAAGCTACAAACTGAACATATGTACCGCACCTGCTTGCTGCTGGATGCGCAGAGGCTGACAGCACAGGGGATGTGGGCGGGCAGAAGACGCTGCGCACATACTGGAAGAACTACTTCGAGAAGACTGACACGCTCATCTGGGTAGTCGATGCAACGGACCGCGAGCGGATAGACGACTGTCGCCATGAGCTGGCAGGGTTGCTGCAGGAAGAGGTGTGTCTCGGAGTAAACTTAATCGACAATCGAATCGACTGACATGTCAAGCGTCTCTCGGGAGCAAGCCTGCTTGTCTTCAAGAACAAGAGCGATGTTCCCGGGGCCATGACCGAGGACGAAGTGCGCGAGGTGCGTAACCGCAGACCCGGATGGTGGGAGGGACATGTTGTCGGGCTAATCGAATGCTAACGGGTGCAGGGCCTGCGACTCGAGGCCATCAGGACTCACAAATACCACATCATCACGTGCAGCGCCATGACAGGCATGAACCTGCAAGAAGGGCTCGAGTGGGTGGTACAGGACGCCAAAGCAAGACTGTTTCTCTACTGAGGGCGAGAAGTGCAAGGGGCGAGGTGCATCAAGGCAGGGTAGCATAAGTAGCGCATGTTCACGGTTCCAGCTGCTGAGACGGCAGCTCCACTTCAACGCTGCGCCTGTCAACAAACACCCCCAGTTGCGACCCAATTGCTCTTCTCTGCGTGACCTGGGCCACCACACTCTCTTGCATCCCCCCATCCGTTCATTCTTTACACGTCGACGCCCCGTTTCAGCGCACGTGAGACACTTGTGCAGCGGACCGCACTCTTGGCCAGGCATGCACATCTGAATAGGTACTCGAAGCAATTTCACGGCTAGCGCAAATCACCCGGGATTACCATTCTTTGCCGAGCATCTTCACCTGCCCAACTCACACTCGTAGCACCGAGCGGCCTGTGTCGACCAACCGTGCATTTCCTTCTCATCG